TGCTTTGTGGATTGAAGTCAGAGATAAACAGTTTGAGAATTTTCTCGGGTTTGCACTTTTTTATGTCTTAAACTTTTTTAATCAGCGCCGATAAAACAAGAAAGTCGTGCTCAAGCAACAAAAGAAAATCACAATCAATTTTATTTCGACGCGACTTTATAAATCAAATAATTTAATTCAGTCTTGAACAACTTCGTCGAAAAGAAACAAAACAAAACAAACAAAAAACCGAGACCAAGTCTTATCCTAAGCCTTACCGTTTCATGGGTGACTTGCATTAATTCTTTCAGCGTTAAATAAGAACTCATCATAAACAACTTTTCGTTGGGTCGCTTAGTTTCTACATGGTTTCGCCATAACCCCGTTCAAAATGCTTTGTGCCTCTAAGTATTCAATGTCCAAAAGAGATGTACCCTCATAAATGAATAGTTATATTTAGTGAACAAGGGTAAAAACGATGATGATTCCAATTTATACTTTGTAAAATTGCAAAGAAAGATGAGCAGTGCTAAAATCTAATGGCACGAAACGAAAAGACAGCAACACAAATCGCAAAAAAATATATCTAATGGGCTCTAAAATTCGATACAGGAATCAACAGACACGAGTCTTACCTGGAATGGACCAATTATAGAGTTTAATCGCCCATGTGGCTCGTATATTACAAACATCTAACTTTCCGTAACTATAATTATCCTCTGTTTGCGCTTGTTGCATCACTCTCAAAGAGGATAGTTTCGTTGTCCTTAAAGCTGTTTGTGAAAGCGAAAATTTGTGTTGGCGATCTTTGAAAAGCCGAGTTCAGGCTATTGAAGAACAGGTATTGCGATGACGTCTCGTGGCAACGACTGCTAATTCCCTTCTGAAACACAACGAGGCGACGTTCTCGACCCAGTTTCTTACCGATATTTTTGCTGCGGGCAACGTTGTCAACTGACGTTCCCGTCCTCTTGCTAAAGNATTTTATTGTGTTTTGGGATAAAAGTACAGTAACATGCCCGCGGGTAGCTAAGCTAATCTAGGCGGGTCATGTATGTAATATATATATCTTATTAACCAAGCGCGAGGGCCGTACTGGGAGAATATCGGCCCGAGGTCTTGACAGTACGGACCGAGCGCAGCGAGGTCCGTACAAAAAAGACCGAGGGCCGATATTCTTCCAGTACGGTCCCGAGCAAGCTTGGTTAATAAGAGATTTATTATACGACTGAAGTTCAAAGGGACACAAGTGCGGTATCATTCGGGACCATTCGGGACAGTGCCCGGTCCAATACTTAGAGAATATTGGACCGGTAATAGAGCATTTTGATTGGTTGATTTTAGTTATTGGCCCTCTGACTGCCCGAGTCGTGTAATAAAATTTTAAACAATACCTGAGTGACTTGAAACTTGTTAGAAATCAGGGCCATTTCCGACTCCACTTTGGCCGCAACTGCACGAGAAAATTCTATTTACGTCTAATGTTCAAAAATGAAAATAGACACGGTAAGATTTCTACATGTAACAGTGAACTCACCGCTAAATGCGAAAGCTGAAAGAATCGATCGAGCGTCGCTGATATACTCCCATTCGCATTCACGGTGAAGTTTCTCCTCTTAGCAATAGTAATATATCAGAGCTAACTGTGTATAGTTTCAAAATGACAAATGTTTCATGCCTAAATCCGGTCTGTAAGGTGAAACTGCGCGTGAAGATGAGATAATCCCATCACTGATTGCACCAATAATATCTATAATCTATGGTTGAAAGAACAACATGATTTCCCGGAAAAAAGGATCGAGATAAAAACTATGCAGAGACAGCGAAATTTTTTCTTACCATGCACGCTCCCAGTGGTCGTTTATATAGCTTTTAAAAATGAAACTGTGTCCTCTCAAAAGTCAGCAACATTGCAAAAACCGTATATGGTATAATGAATACAATTTTGAAACTGGTTGAAATATCTGTTGAAATATGTAAATTGGCCACCGTAACTAATAAAAAAGCTATTTTTTATTCGTTACGGTGGCCAATTTACATATTTCAACTGAGTTGATATAACCAAATTACATTGTTACCCCCACCGACGCCGCACCACAGTTTCTTTAGAACTTTTAGCCTTTATTCATTTAGTTGAAAATCCTTAGCCACGACCAAAATGTAACTACAGAACATTAAAAGGAATATAGATCTTCTGGAAGATGGCAATACAGGCTTCACAGAAACAAAATGAAACAAAAAACAAAGCTTAAAAAATTACATCGCACAAAAAACTACTCTCGACACATGATTATACCAAGTTGACTTTTTCCACGATCAGAGCTGAGAGGAACAGTAGCGTCAATGGATTGCTGGCAGAGAATCTTCCTTGTCCTAGAACAATAAAAAAAGAAAAGACTTCAAAAAGGTGGGCACTATTATTGCAAAATGTACAGAAAACTTGCTCAAGGCCCGCGAAACAGATGCGAAGGAAATTGACCTTGATCAAATGGTTAGTTTTCATACGGATGCTTTGGCGTTGTTGGGCCACTCGCAATATGAATTATCACTGAAAAGGCGCGAGGCGATAAGACCTAGCCTCAAGAGAGAATATGCTGCGCTTTGCTCAGCAACTGTCCCAGTCAGTACTTCGCTGCTCTTCGGAGATGACCTTCAACAACAGCTTACAAACATAAAAGCGTCAAATAAAATTTCACAAGTGTCAGTGAACGTAAACAAATCTCAAAAGGTTGGCTACAAAAATAACCCTAGCACCAGGGGACAACACAGACCCTCAGATCAGTATTATAAAAGGTCTTTTCATCCCCACAACCAATGGAAAAGTCGTGGCGACAAGTCAAAAAACTTCAAATCCCCCCTCTACAAAAAGAAGGAGGGAGGCAAGAACTAAAGACAAACATTAAGGAGCTGACCAATTTAGGAACCCTATAGGTTAGTAGTTTTGAGCTTTATGTTGAGAACATCAAACAACGATTGTTGCGTCAGATTCAGTACTTTAAGGCGGCCAGCATAAGTACATGTTACTCAAGATGGCTGAACTTAACCTCAGACCCTGAGGTCCTTAGCACTGTGCAAGGCCAGCCTATAGAATTTATCTCAACTCCCTTTCAAGACAGGGTCCCACCACAAAAGAAATTTAGTGCACAGGAAAGCACTATTCTTCAATCTGAGGTTAACAAATTACTTCAGAAGGAAGTTATTGTACCTGCTAGAAATGAGCCAGGGCAGTTCATTTCTACTATATTCTTAAGGCCAAAACCTGATGGTTCACATCGGTGATCCTGAATTTGAAAAAACTTAATGAGTCTGTTCAGTACGAACACTTCAAAATGGATACACTGTGGACCGTGATTCGAATGATGAAACCCAACTGTTATATGGCATCTATTGACATCAAGGCTGCGTATTATTCAGTCCCCATTGCCGAAACTGACCAGAAATATCATTTGAGTGGCAGAGAACGCTGTACAAGTTCACATATTTCCCTAATGGGCTGGCATTATGTCCAAGAAAATTTACCAAACTGCTCAAGCCAGTTTACTGTTACCTAAGAAAGAAAGGACACCTTTCTCCTGGCTATATTGATGACTCATATTTGCAGGGCGATGGATACCAGGACTACCTAGCCAATGTTGTGGATACAATAAAATTATTTGACTCACTGGGTTTCATAATACATCCAGAAAAGTCAGTGTTTATCCCTACACAAATTATAACCTTTCTGGGGTTTGTCCTAGACTCTAGGACTATGAAAGTCTACCTCACCCAACAAAAACAACTCAAACTCAAAAATGCCTGCTTTCGTATTATTAAGACCCCAAGGCCAACCATCCGTTTGGTAGCACAGTTGTTGGGATTAATGACCTCCAGCTTTCCTGGGGTAATGTATGGTCCACTGTATTACCGCAGACTGGACATGGCAAAAACCGATGCCCTATCCCAATGTGGGGATTTTGAGGGTAACATGGAACTGACACCCCCTGTTCTGGAAGATATAAATTGGTGGATGAACAATATTCACTTATCATGTTATGTCATTTACCATGGGGAGCCCCACGCTACCTTATACACTGATGCTTCTACAACCGGATGGGGCTGTGAATTTCAGGGAACCCCCACGGGGGGATCATGGAGCTCAATTGAGGCCCAACATCACATTAATTACCTTGAAATGTTGGCTATCAAATTAGGACTTAAATGTTTCGAGGAAAAAGTCAGGCATCAACATATAAAACTTATGGTGGACAATATGCCAACAGTCACAATTCTTAACAACATGGGTACTAGTCACTCCTGGCAGCTCAATGAGCTGAACAAGGAGATATGGACTTGGTGTATTGATCGAGGAATATGGCTGACTGTAGCCCACATCCCAGGAAAAACCAATGTAGTTGCTGATAGAGAATCTAGACAACATCGAAGAGAAATTGAGTGGACCATTAATTCAGACCTATATGAAGAGGGTATATGTAAGCTGGCAGTAACACCAACCATTGACTTGTTTGCCTCTAGACTCAACTATAGACTTACACCTTACGTGTCCTACAAGCCCGACCCGGGTGCTGTGGCTGTGGACGCGTTTACTTTACAGTGGTCACAATATGTTTTTTATGCTTTCCCCCCCTTTAGTGTGATCACAAGAACCCTTCAGAAGATACAGCAGGATCAAGCGACAGGCTTGCTCGTTGTGCCTTTTTGGCCAACTCAAACATGGTGGCCACCACTATCAAGAATGCTAATACAAGCACCTCTAGTACTACCGAAAAGAAAGAACACACTGTACCTTCCTCAGGATCCCAGTGCAGTGCACCCACTACACAATCAGATGTCTCTACTCCTCTGCCACTTGTCCGGCAACATTTGCAGAGTCAGGGAATTTCATCATCAGCTACCGACATTATCATGCAGTCCTGGCGGACCAGCACAAGAGTCCAATACAGCTCTTACATTAAGAAATGGTTGGAATACTGTTGTAAATGGCAAATTAATCCAGTTTCACCACCTGTAGCAAGTGGGCTCAACTTTCTTGCGGAGCTCTATCACAAGGGACTCAGTTATAGTGCGTTAAACACTGCAAGGAGCGCATTGGCCAGTGTCATCGCCTTACAAGGTAACCAGTCCTTTGGTAACCACCCGCTTGTTTCTCGTTTCTTAAAGGGAACATTTACAACAAGACCAGCCCTACCTAAATACAGGGAAGTGTGGGATGTGAACACAGTTCTTGAACATTTAAAAACTTTACATCCTGCAGAGTCTTTATCCCTAAAATTGTTGTCATTAAAACTAGTTATGTTGCTGGCCATATTGTCAGGCCAACGCTGCCAGACCATTCATGCGTTAACTACAAAGGACATGAAAGCCTCAAACGACAGAGTAATGTTTATCGTAAACGATTTGTTAAAAACTACCAAACCCGGTAAAGAATGTACTAAGGTAGAATTTCTGTCCTTCGATGAAGACCCTCGAATCTGTGTGGTGAGGTATCTATCAGAATATCTGAAGAGGACGGTCTTGGACT